TTAATGAATCAATAATTATAAGAACTTATGTATCGGCAATTCTTGATGCACAATCGAAAACACAAGCGGGAATAATCGGTTCTGGGACGGCGCTTGATGCACAAAAACAGTTTGTCGCAAACGTAGAGGATGCTTTTAATTCACAAGTTGACATACCATCTTCTATAAAACGTTATCAAGATGTATTACAGTACGCCCAATCCAAAGTAGACTACGTTTACAGGGCAGGACTATACATGTCCCTGAGTAATATGGAACTTAAGATTGGCCAATGATAGGCTATAATAAAAAAATGTGGTTGCAACTGATCAACAAAAACCAGGTATTAATTCAGATATTAACACAGAATTTATAACGCAAACAAACACAGGCGAAACGGGAATAGTCAAGCCACAGTCACCACAACAGTCACAACAACCGGAAGTGCTGCCACATATGGTTTACTCATGATTTGGATAGTCTTTAACGGATAAGTACAACAGCCCGACCATTGCTACGATCAGTGCCCACAAGTTTTGACTAAGCCAAGTGGTGGTCTTAGATAATAAATTCAAGATCCAGGAAACAATACTCCCTATTATACCTGGAAGTGCAGATGCGTCTTTCCCAGTGCTTCTCCTAATGCTTTTTTATCCACTCTTTTACACCCTTTTTATCACTAGGTGGTGTGCCACCTCCTGTACCACTGCCACTGGTTAACGCGAGAGTCAAAGAAGATATAATAAATCCCAATATGGTTAAAATACTGCTTGATTGGAATGTCTGATTAACATGATTAAGTATCTTTTCGGCGCCTTCCAGTCTGACAGAGTATTGGGTTTTCATCCTAGGGTTATTTCAGTTGTGGGTATGTTTGGTTGACTAATGATTAGCTGAAGGTTTGGTTAAGAAGAGCTTGATAGAAAAACTGATTGGAATGGAAATTGGGGTTCATAGGGAGTGAGCGATATGACTCATTTCCCATGATGTCAAATATGATTTTTGTGGGAGGAGCTAATCGATAGTACTTTGTTAGTTGTCTAGGAGTGGTGCGGGGATTCGGAAATCCACGGCTGAACAGAGAGGTTCTCTCAGAAAAGCTAACAGGCTCTTCCATACATCCCTTAGGTATGTGTTGTATTTAAGTAAAACAGGCAACAAGAAGATAACTGAGGACCTTGTGTATATTTACTAAAACTTCTATCTTCAATAAATGGACTGAGCAGCCAAGTTGACTTGTGATTTGTGAGAGCTGCATCATACCCAGAATCAAGGAGTGGTTAACAAGAGAAAGTGACCAAAGGGAGACAGGTATAATACCCGACCCCTAGGGTTACAGAGCCACGTAGTCACGATATTCCTTTACTATGTATCATAAACTTGGAATAGTCACGACCAATTGGAATAACATATTTTTGTCTTCTTAGTCATCGAAATACTCCATAACGGTTGATTGCAAAAGTTCATCGTTAAGATTCATGCCACCAAAGCTGGTTTTATCAGTTCCATCTTCGATTGTACTAGTATCAGTTAGGTTTTCTAGATTAATATCATCCATTTTTATATTAAACATAAGGTTCTTCAGGATCCATTAGGGTCAAAGCAATTCGTCAGTCTGTAACTATAACTAATAACCTGAGTACCATTGATCAGAATCAAACACTTCTTGTTTGCTTTCCTAATCTCAGCACTCACGATTTGTTAGTTCCAGGAACTGCCCGACTATCATTTACAATTAGTTTGACTTCAACTGACGCTAATAATCAACTACATAGTCAAGGCATGCGAGCATAGCAACAGTGGGATGAGATTAAAAAACTCCCTCCTATAAAACGAAGCCCAGAAGTTAATGCAGTCCAAGATCTTTCTCTTGGGGATGTATCGCTATAAAGATCACAAAGCTCACCGAAGCAGCTGGTAAATTAAACATATATTTGTACATGATTATGGATGCACAATTGATATACAAAGTGGAAGATTCGTGCAAGCGATGTATTAATAATCTTTTACCTAAAGAACCGCACTGCGCTATCATCTGTGGACAAACGGGTTGTGGAAAAACAGCTTATATTCTAGATACTTTACAAAACCATTATCGGGATGTTTTCGCACATATTAATATTCTGTGCCCGACTATAAACGTTAATAAAACATACTTATCGAGAGATTGGGTAATGAATGATCCAGGGGTGTATAAAGTTGATCTGGGCAATCCTTTACAAGACTGTTTACGAGTATGTCACGAAAAATAAAAAGGAGAATCAACCCTTTTCATAATAGACGACTGCAGTGCGAGTGAAGAACTTACCAAAAAGAAAGATATGCTTTCATATTTAGCATTCTCCGGTCGGCATATGGAGCATAGCGTTTGGGTACTTACTGAAAAATACAACTCATGAAAGATCTCAGAGAGCAGACCAAATGGGTAGCCCTGTTTCATTGCAAAGAATGAGATTCATTTGAGGGATGTCTTTGTGAAAATGTTATAATTTCTACCAAGCTCGAGCTAGAAAAAGATACGAAATGGGAAGCGGAAACACAGCACTGTAAACTCGTATTTAAAAACCAATCAAGCAGCTGCTTAGGCAATTGCTTAGCAAAAATATAACAAAATATAGCAAATTATATCAACATTTAGCAAAATTTAGCCAAATATAGCAAATGCATAGCAAAAATAGCAAATTTAGCCAAAATGCGATCAATTGAACATAAGCGGTTATTAGGTAATAATGTGGTTTGAAATCCTTATTCTTTTGCAACAGTTTATTATTTCAGACTGTATTGGATATGCAATATTAAATATGACCTTAGTTATTACATTATGGAATGCAACAAACTTATCGAACAACTGCTCCAAGAAGAGCCTGTATTTACAGATAAAACATACAGATAAACATAAAGAAAGACTCGCGGCTTTGCTAGCAGATGGAAAATGCCCCCAAAATTTTTGGGAAAATTATACCACTGAAAAAATTGATAACATGTCCGATGAAGAAATTATAAAACAATACACGCGTTACGAGTCCAGACTGGGAGCTACCATGACTAAAACAATAGGTTCGGCTATGTTACAACTATACACAGTTGTAGCTATATCGTTTCTATCTATCCCAGCAGAAAATCGCAATTTATTCATGCGAATCTCTAGAGAAAGACCCATTCATCGAAAAAGCTATAGGCGCAGTAAGCTGTGAGTTTTATCATAGATATGGAATGTTCTTAGGGCCACTTACCAACGCTTTAATACCGCTAGGTATTGTCAATTTAAACACACGTGCCCACTTACTAATAATGGAGACGGAAATACAACAAGTGAATGAGGAAACACATGTGATTGTGGAAACACCACAAGCCCGGATTGCACAAATAGTGACACCACAAGTGAACGAGGAAGCACAAGGGATTGCACAATCACCACAAGCCAGAGTGACTAAGAATCCTCTAAAAGTCGCAGCTGATAGAAAGGGTGCACTAGCAAGGAAGGCAAAGGCTCACAATTTAAATACTGAACATAGCACGATTAAAACTTGGGCTCCCTATGCTACAAGTGTTATAGCAGTGGTATGGTTGTTTTTTAAGACAGGAGAAGAGAAAACACAATCCCTGTTTGTACAAGATGAGGTTCAATTAGAGTTAAATCCTCATTTAATGTCATAAAAGCATGACTATTCTAGATATAGATGGTAAAATGTTGGTAAACGTAACGTATCATTCAGCAGTGGTCAGGCGCTTGGCCATTGGCTATGCCCGTATAGCTAAAATGATTACTAAAGCCACACCACCCAAGCTAGATTTTAATGGTTATGATATTGGTATGATGGTCCTAGATGTAGGCCTAGCAATGGCCACAAAAGTTATGCTCATCAAACAAGGGCTTATCCAAGAAGACATAATGAAGTAATTAAACATTTGAATATTTTATGAACATAATATAATTGAACACAAAATAGCATCAATTGGTCGGTGGAGCTGTTGTTGATGCTCTAGCTTTTTCGGGGAGTAATTTTTTATTTTCTACTATGAGGGAATCAAACGCTAAAGAAATTGTAGAGGAGCGTAAACGACACACTAAAGCATTAGAACAACTCGAAACAGCCCAGTCACAATGGGCCAGACAGAGGATGTTGAGATTAGATTATATTAATGATGAACTGCGTAAACAAGGACATTCAATTCAAATGTTTAAGGATGTTGAATCTGCCATGCACAAATACTTGCTTGTTTATGGAAAAAACACTTGACCCAATGCCAAAGCCAACAATAAGTAGGCTTTATACACCATCAGAGGAACAAAAAAACAGAGAGATAGTATTTATAATGTTTGGGTTGTCGGTAGTTGCGATTTACACAATTACGCATAAGCTATGAGCTGGCAACACACTATGTTGCTATGACCTGACAACATGACTGTTGTGTCTATTTTTAACTACAAAATTACGCATAAGATATGATCTATTACGATCAGCTGGCAACATAAATAGCGTTGGCTAGTCTCACCATTGGATGTGTGGATGTGTGGATGTGTGATTTGCATTCAGATAAATGATATGATAGTATTAAATTGCGTACTTCATTTCGGATTCGTTTACTGGTATTTCCCGTGTTACGTGATCGTGGTGATCAACTGATATCGTTTTCTGAGATGGGGGGAAAACATCATGTCAGTGGCAAATTTGAGTGTATTGAAAACGTTAGTGCCTTCAGTCACAAGTTTGGCTGGTCCAAACTCGATAGACTACAGTTTGCATAGATAGTTTACAGCCCAAAGTGATATACCAGGTAGCTGAAATACTATGATGATGATTTTAGAAAATATTCACAGCAGCACGTTAGTGTTTTCAATACTTATCAGCATGTTATTAAATTCTAGCTTCAAAAGTATCGAAGAAAACATTTATTCTGCCAGTGTATTTTGCAGCTAGGTCAAGGACTTTGCATATTATCATATAGATTTTAGATCCATACAAATGTACCAGTTTCAGTTTTTCATATTATGCACAGGTGTTTCTGTCTTGTTTCAGGAGACCACCCTATCAACCGTGCTGACATTACAGTGGTGCCCAATTTCATCACAAATGAAGATTTGGCACAATCAATCTGTCACATGCTAAACAGGGATTTGAAGAAGATATCTAACAATGAAGATCAACCTTTGACAGCTCATGGTCCAAAATTCCTGGTGTATCGACCATCTGGTAGAGCAGGAGATGAATTTAAGGAACATGTATCAAGGCATCTGATGAATCAAATTGGTAACTTATACATAATATGTGACATTCTTTGCTCACATAAGCGAATTGTCCTAAACTAGAAGTAATTCTGACAAAACTTCTACCTCTATTACATATCTCTCAGCCATAAATTCTGTATTTTGTATTCAATCACTAATTTTTTTTAATTTTCAACAGACATCCATCCACTTCACTGTCAATCACACACAATTAGTTGTCGCAAAGTAGTCTCAACTACCCAAGCCATGAAGTCATAATGGCGGCAAGATCACTATTTTTCCTGTGTGTGCTAGAGTTAACACCTACTATATTAGTAGTAACTATCTAGTAGTAGTAAATCACATAAGATTATTCTGATATGTTTGCTACCATAACAGAATATTAAATAATAGTGCTGCTGGAGAGCTGGTGTTTGGTGTTTGTGGGGTTGTCATGCAGCCTCCCTCCACCCCTGGGTGCAAGACGTGAGGCTGGTTTATGGTCACAGCAGATCCTCATAAATTCTGCACAAAGTGCAGAGGGAAGACCTGCAGCATGGAGAAGAGATGTGAGCAATGCAGTAATAAATCTGAAGAAACATTCTCCAAGATGTCTGAGGCCATGACTAAGGCCAAGAGGCCCGAGGTTGCAAAGAAGAAAGTGGACACCATCATAACTGATTCAGTTTCCACTTGAGCGCCTCCCTCTCCAGCCAACCTACCATCTCCTGCACTCACTATGATCCACCAACTGTAAAAAGAAACAGCAGGAAATGGTCAAGGACATGCTACAGTCTAAGCTGTCAGAGATGGACAATAAGATCACGATGATAGCTCTGGCAAAGACTATGAGGTCTTCGTCCATGGCTGTAGGCCCGTCTACACAAGATCAACAAGCTGAGCTGCACAGTAAGCCCATGGACCAGCAAACAAGCCAGCCAGCAGCAGACCAGCTGGGTATAAGCCAGCAGGCTTTCATAAGGGAGCCGCACGGTATCCATGTTCAGGCCGTCAACGTCAACAAGGCCAGCCAGCCATTCCAGCAAGATGCTGTGTGGCCCAATGGGCCTGCCTTCCATGGCAATCGAGCCGACTGATAAGCCGTCCAGCCAGGCAGACGTGAAGAATCCGTACAACCGACGCACGGACTCCATAGACCAGCCATCCACGGTTAAACCGCCTACCGACCATGGCTTACCGTATGACATTCATTAGGCAATTGGTCCCAAGCCAGCTACACAGTCCTCCACGGGATTACCCAGCCAACCAGTCAGCTTATAACGGAACAGCTTATAACGGAATCATTGCCACCAGAGGATGAAGGTAGAAGCAGAGGGCTACGATTATCCCCCCACCCCACCGTCCCCTCCCCCACCCCCACCCCCCTCAGAGGTGGAGTCAGAGGGTTTGGAGGACACTGATAACTCGCCCCATCGATATTACTCCAAAGGCTACACTTTTGGGGAATTAATTGAGGAACTTTATCAACTTAGGCCAACGCTTCATCCACATGTCACAGCAGATTCACCATCCCAGATACCTGATATGAGGGATGATATCAGACATATCATATCCACCTTTACAACCATCCTGTGAACGATTGCTCTGGAAACACGCATGACTATTAGGACTGATCAAGTTGGACTCATCAAACCTGATTCGATTGTCAGGATACAGGAAGACATACTCTCCTTCCAAGTCACAATTACTGAGGCTACAACTTTTAGCCCAGATCAGAAGTTCATGATATTGCAGCCTATATCAGTGACCACAATATTCAACGGGAAGTTAAAGCATGTCATTGATGAAGTTAATCAAGACACAGTAGAGCCTTTCCAGACTTCAAATATAGACTTCTTGGCAAGGGCTCTGGGATTATAAGCCTTCTACGTCCAAACAGGCTCCTGAGAAGTTTGTCTCCTCAGAGAAGGATTCGTTCCAACTGGGGAGGAGGTCCAACAAGCAGCAGTCTTCACTGGACACTTTTCGCCAACAAGACTACAAGAAATGGGGATATAATCGCTGTGAAAGATCAAGCGGCGGAGGGAACGAAATTTCTGAACTAGAGAACAAAAGGAAACCAACCACACCAAGGGCTTTTACTCCCCAGTCTTTTTAGTCCTGAATAGAAATACATCCCAGATGAGGATGATCATAGATCTAAAGACCCTCAACAAGAGGTAACTGGTGCCAAATTCCAGAAGGAATCCATATGGAAATTACGGTCGAAGTTGAAGAAAGGAGATTAGCTTATCAGCCTAGACCTAACAAATGCATATCTTCATGCCCGATACATCCATCATCTCGGAAATTTCTACGCTTCACAATCAATGGCCGATGCTACGAATTCCATTTGGGATGGCAATAGACCCTTGGCTATTCACCATGATTACATCTCCAGCTAGTTCGAATCCATGGCTATCCCAATGATTTCCTAGCGGCAGACCAAGGAAAAGATCAGCTACATCAGAATATGATATTCTTGGTCCAGCTTATGACATACCTAGGCTTTCTAGTCAACCCAGCCAAGTCGGAGATCAATCCAGTTCAAGACATTATATACATCGGAGCACAATTCTGGCTAGACAGGGGATATGTATGTCCACCAGAGGATCAACAATACCAGAAAGATGATTCAATCACTTTCATTTCAACCCAGCAAGTTGCTGAGCTGGCGAATGTCTCTGCAAAGGCAACTTAACGTCTCTACAGGATATGACCTTCAGAGGAAGGCTGATGTGAAGTCCTCTACAGACATGGGTCAACTCTATAAGTACGAACGTCCTAGAATTCCAGACTCAGTTACCTCCTAGATTACTACGAGACCTCCATTGGTGGAATCACAGAGAACATGTCACAGCATGGAGTAATAACACAACCCTAATATGGATTTAGAATATATTTATTAAATAAAGTTAAGAATTATGTTGATAATGATATAACCTATGTACCCACACCCATTCAGCAACCTTCCACTAACTATCACCCTTCACACACTTCGCACACCTCACACACACTCTGTCACTCTAACATACACTTTCCAAATACTTAAGGTTACTCAACCCTAATAACAAATACACTAATATTGCATAAAACTATCCTAAATCCCTACTAATACATCAATATATCATTGCATCAATATCCGAACATCAATACATCACAACATCAATACATCTCAACATCAAAACATCAATACATCTCAACATCAACACCACAATACATTAACATCTTAAGGCATTAAAACTTCAACACATCCATACCAACAATCTATTTCTCACATGTACATCTATTTCTCATTATGTACACAATATATAAAAAGTACTTTGTCTCCTTCCACCATCACCGCACTGTACACTTTACATAGTGCAAAGTCGCATGAACCTCACACAGGTCTTTTTGCTATCCAGATGTAATCATCTAGATATACTTCGCCATCTGTCGCCCTTGTATCAGGCTTCATACCATGACGCATCGATATCGTACAGGTTCCGCTCTGGGTCCCCGGACACTATATAACAAACGTATACATGTAAGTTTATATGCTAGTGACCATTCACCTAACATCAAGTATTATATACTCAGAATGGTACACACATACTTATTCAACATACAAATGAGCATGGGAGCATACATCAAGCCTGTACAGTACTCAGAATAACTAAAAAAGCGTAGATTTATTCAACATACATTGAGCAAGTACTACTTCGAATAACCAATGTCAACATCAAAAGTAAATGTACATGATGATATTATTTTTGTCGTTGTTTTCAATACAACAACTGCCAAAACACGGCCAAATCAAGACTTTGTTTTTGTTAGATATCTGGGACTTAATTCACGATGAATATACACTTCATAAGACATGTTCCTAAATCCGTTTTCTATTCTATCTTTATATATACATATATATACTCTTCAAAAAAAGAAACTTGACTATGACTTTCAAAATGTAATATGATTCGATTGTTTCAAAATACCACAGAAACCATAATTGAAACACTGTTTGAAGATCATTGTACACAATCTTCAAAACATTAATCGTGTCACCTAGACAGACACGCGAACACGATACAGTTAATGTCACAGGGGTACAGAAAATGTCAGTATGGGTTGTGCCCACCACGTGCATCAATCACCGCTTGACACCGACGACCCATAGATGTAATCAAGTTGTCAATAACGCGCTGTTGGATGTGCATCAAGTGCTAAAGTGCATCACGAAGCGCCGGAAGTGTTTGGGATTCCTTCTGCGAACGCGTCGAACCAACTCGTCCCATAGATGCTCAATCGGGGACAAATCTAGTGATCAGGCTGGCCAAGGTAATGTTGTTGTGCTGTAAGAAGTCCTGACAAACACGTTGAATATGCGGTAGAGCGTTGTCATGCTGGGACTGTCCGCCATAAACGTTGACGTGAGGAAAACGTACGGCTGTAGGATCAAGTCTCTGTAATGCATACCTCCGAATGCACCTGCCATATGCACGAGAGGCGTCCTACCACCGTGATGAATACCATGGCACCCCCGTCGCAAAATGGGACAACCTGCTGCACACAGTTGGGGGCGTAACGTTCTACCCGACGTCTGTAGACACGTGCGCGCCCATCAGCACGGGTGAGTCGGAAACGGGACTCGTCAGTAAACAGTACATTTCTCCACCTTGCACGTGCCCATCTAACGAAAGCAGACGGTCCGCCAGATGACGTGGGGTCAATACATGACGTCGAACAGGTCTTCATGCAAAAAGTCGATCCTCCCTCAGTCTGTTGCGTACCGTTTGATCTGATAGTTTGCGTACCTCATGGATCTGTGTGGTTGTAGACGTGGCTGTGGTAGTGCGGTCTCGGAGGTGTCGCAGCCGGATGTATTGATCTTGTGCTTGGGTTGTCACCCTTGGTCTTCCTGACCTTGGTCTTTCGTCAACTCTGTTGGTGTTGTTGTATCGGGTCCACAGTGCGGAGATTGTCTGTCTGGATACGCCAAAGTGCCTGGCTACTTCTTGCTGAGTTGCTCCAGCTTGTAATTTCCCAATGGCGTTATTCCGT